AAACAATGCCCGAATAGTGCACCTCGACCAAGCAGCACCCGAGTGGTGCACCTCGGTTAAACAGTGTCTTTGTTGTGCACCTTGACCAAACAGTGCCCGAGTTGTGCACCATGGCCTAATAATGTCTGTGTCATATCTTGGCCAATCTAATACCTGAGCTACGCCTCGTGGCAAGTCCAATATTTGAGTCACATCTCAGTCAATCTAATGCTTGAGCCACTACTCGCGGCCGGTCCAAAGTCTGAGTCATGTCTCGGCCAGTCCAATGTAGAGTTACTTCTCGAATAATCCAATGCCCGAGTCACGCCTCGCGACCGGTCCAATGTCTGAGTCATGTCTCAGCCAGTCCAATGCTTGAGTCACGCCTCGCAGCCGATCCAATGTTTTAGTCACATCTCGGCTAGTCCTGCACCTGAGTAGTGTTGCTCGGCTGGCCCAATCCCCAAGTTATGTTGCTCGACTAGTCTAGCTCTTGAATAGAAGCTCCCGGTCAACTGACGATCGAACCAGCAATCCCAGCATGACAGTCAGCCCAGCCAGCAAAAGACACCAATCCATGCCTCAAGCCCCTCCACGAGGAACCCGGGGCATGCCTCTTTGGGGAGGGGTGGGTGGGGGGGGGGGGGGAGAGAGAATGATAGGGCATATTCCGGTGCCACCCCCACAACAACAATCAGCAATCACATCAACGCCAATATTGAGTATCAAGATTAATATGGTGCATTGGGTTGACATAATACCTCAGATTCGGATGGCTTAATCATCTATTCCACGCCGTATGATGTCGTACAAGACAATACCACGTGAACCGCTATGGAAAGCTCAGAATGGTGACATGCGTCGCTGATCGACGCCCACAGAAGGTACGAGTCAACCGGATCATTAACAAACCATGGCTCTCTTTTTGTCTTCATCGCTCTCTTTTTGTCTGAGGAGTCGCCTTCATCGCTCTCTTTTTGTCTCTCCGTATCTCTCTCTCTCTCTCTTTGGCGATGTGGTCAGCGCCCTAAGGTGACCGCTACCAGCAGTAAGTCACCCGTTGGTCTCGTGTTGGTCGCCCCTAGTAGGTGCGACTCGTTCTTCTAAGGATACGAGGGGTTGCTTTCTGGGAACGAAACAAGAGAGTGGCACAAAATATAACTCTCTCGAGAGAGTGCGATGATCGCATGCGTCATAGCAATTCCTCGAGGCCGGCTTCTGCGCCGTCGATTGGGTGATCAACGACGACGATCTGTTCAACTGTTATCGTTTCAGTCCTTGCTTTGAGCACGATAAGAAGTTGGACGGTACGGTCTGACTGGGCTTTCGTCTTCTTTGAATGAAGTCGACAAAGGTTGGCCCGACTTTTCAAAGACAATGTCATACACACACTTGGGCATCATGCATTTTCATGATGTGACATCATGCACTGAAATAAATTGCCTTTTGTAGATAAAGAAAGGATAATGCAATTACACTTCCACGTTTCTCGAGCCCCACTTGGCTGTGAAGAGCATGTAAGCTAATGGTAGAACCCAAGTGATCTTTAATCTTTCTAAAGAAGCACAAGGCAGTAGAGAGAGAGAGAGAGAGAGAGAGAGAGAGAGAGAAAGAGTGAGATCTGCCTATTTTTTAATGAGATGAAGCTGCATGTCCCATATAACACCACCAAGAAAGATACGATGTTCAGAGAGGGCAACTGCAATGCCATCAGACACACAAAGCAGCTGCAACAATGCAGGCAAACACCATGCAACACACAGTCACTACTACTACTATTGTAGACTACTCGACTCCGATTCTCTTCTTGAGGCGGTCCACGAACTCGTAGACCATTTGGGGGTCGGACAGTGTCTTGGCCACGCTCTCCCGCTCCATGCACCGCTTGCCCCACGCCACCAGCTTGGGCGCTAACTCCTCCATGCTGAAGCCGGCACAGGTCTCGTAGGTGTAGAACCAGGACACGAAGGGGACGAGCGTGACGTCGACGAAGCCGAAGGCGTCGCCGCCGAAGTACTTCTTGTCTCCCAGCTCGCCCTCCAGCAGCTTCAGGATCCCGATGAACCCCTCCTTGGCCGCCGCCAGTTCCTCGCCTTTGAGCTTACACAGCTTTGTCCCGTAGTCACTGAACTGATACGTGAAGAATAACGTTAAAGGGTGCTGAGAACAAACAGGTGCTGCACAATTATTCTGACAAGACGAAAAGATGATCCATAATTTATTTCTCGATCAAAAAAATTAGATTATGCAGATTCCATCAAACGCGCAAAAATTAAACGTGGAGGACAAAAATATCCAGAAAATAAATAAATCTGGAAGTGGATTCTGACCATTAAAGAAGAATTAGAAGAAGGCATTCTCAACTGTTTGTTCTGTGCAACGGATGGCAACTCTCTTCCTAACAAAAAAAACAAAACTACCTCTTGGTTTGTTACCAAGGCATTCTCAACTGTTTGTTCTGTGCGACGTTCTGTGCAACGGATGGCAACTCTCTTCCACACAAGAGAAAAACAAAACTACCTCTTGGTTTGTTACCCGCCGGCCTATCTTCCTCCTCAATGGACAGTATCTGGTGGCGCCCACTATCATTGGAGAAGACGGAAAAAAATGGACAGTATGTCGCAAGC